CTAGAGTGAATAGGCATTTTTTAGGCAAACGCGTCCCATCGTCGGTCACATCGTCGCTTAACATCAGGTGATATATATAAAAAATATACAACTACATTTTCATAAAAATACTTTAACGCCAGTGCGAGAATGTTAATTTTATTAATACATCTTTTAGAGATAATAATAATAATCACAATAATAATTTAATGTGCTATAATAATAATACAACATTCATGGGTATACAGTAAGTAAGTACCAAAGAATCAGCTCATATGACCGTTGGTACTTAAAAAAGGAAAACGTAGTGCTATAAGTGCCAACAAACCTTCCAATGATATAGTAAAATACACAATTGCTGTTATTTTATCGAGCTCTTAGGCTTTCGAGATTGTTACACATAGGAAATGAAACTATTTTTCCGGATTTAAATCGCGTGTATTTGTCTTTTCAAACAAACCGACGTTTCGGGCCCTTTAAAACCGGCCATGGGACCTGTAAAGGGCCCGAAACGTGCGTCGGTTTGTTTGAAAAAACAAATATACGCGATTTAAATCCGGAAAAATAGTTTCATTTCCTGTGTTGTTATTTTATTATACATTATGCAGAAAGAAGATAAATAATTAGTAATTTGTAGAGACAGCAAAATAGGCAAAAATAGATAATCTGTACAATTAGATAAAACGCTAAAATATTATTACTTTTATTGGATAAGAATCGTCCCAAAAAGTAAAATAACTTTTGGCTGAATGAAGTTTTACAGATAACAACTCCGGGGAATGACATTCACACGTCTACTGTATTGCAATTTAGGAATGTGGCAGGAGTAGGTAGTGTGTTGTCGTAGTGTAGTTTAGAGAAAAAAGAGTTATTTATTTATTTATTTATTTATTTATTCATTTAATATTTGTAGCTTTACAGATAAATCCAAATAGCTAAAAAAAAATAAAAAAAATTGTTGGCATACTGTAAGTACTTCACAATATTCTTCTAAGACTCTTGTAGTGAAACGAAATATGAAAAAAGAAAACGAAATTTGTTAATTAATTAAAAAAACAAGCGGATTCGTGAAAGTTTTAGTGTTTTTTAAATCACGTACACTCAGCGCCCAAGTAGCGGGTGCAATCAATACCCAGGCGCCCTCTAGAAGGCACGTGATGAAATTCCAATACTTGCAATTATATTTTCCCCAGTGATCGTGAATTCAGGTGCAAATGGTGCAAGTATAAACGATGTTGGGAAGCAATAGCCCGTTTACTTCGCCACAAGCGACGCAAACGTAGGCTCGTACACTCTCCACCACAGGTACCTCTTAGTAGCAACAAAGCTCCTTGTGAAACTTACCTATTTCTGCCGCCAAGCAGTGATGTCAGCATTACTGTGTTCCGATCTTGAAGGATTAGGGTGAAATTACAGGCACATGAGACTTGTCAACTTACGTCTCCGGGTGACGGGCGCAGTGGCAGTGCCCCTCTGATCTTTGCGATCTAAAGCTCTGTGTGGCACTGCAACTGTTATGGACAGGCGTGTAGCTTACCATCAGGCGCACGACCTGTTCGTCCCGTCACTTGTAAATAATAATAATAATAATTTGCGTCGCAAAACCGACCAGCGCACGGTGAAGCGGGGTTGGTGTTTGCTGTATTTGTCGAATAGGCAATAGGGAATACTTTGTCACACATGCTATCTATGAACACATGATGATTATTTGCCAAATATATCTAATAGGCAAATACAACAGCCATATGAAGTGCCACCATTAGGGGAATATATGTGTACCTTCAGTAAGAACAATATTAAAATGAAGACTTCAATTGTTTTTGTTTAACAATTACGAAGAGACTTCTTGAATTGGAATTAATTCAACTGTAACGCTGTAACTTCTCCTTCTTACAAAATGTTTCGTCCGAAAAATTAATTTTCGGGAAGCTACCCAAACCAGTTTTGTCTAAACACAGCGTGTAATGAACTACCTCCGTGGCCGAACGGTTACCATGCCGGACTGCCACGCAGAGATCCCAGGTTCGATTCCCGGGCCGAGAGAAATATTTGTATGACCTACATTTATTTCTCTCGTGAGTTTGGGTGTAATTTGTGGTTGTCTATGTGTGTGTCCATGGCACCCGCGACCCAGGGTTTCCCTAGTGCGGGGCTATGTTGAGTGTGTGCGTTATTAATGAGATTTTACCAATCTCAGAAAATTATCGTAATTTTTAGAATCGAACAGGTGAGCATGTTGACAATCTCGGTAACCCAATTTCGCACTGAGCTCTTGAGAAAAGTCTAATTTGCAAACTGTCTTTTTTACAATGCTTCTGACCTTTCTGGTTGTTATTATAATAGCAACTATAAACAGTTTAAAAAAAAACAAAAATTTAGCATGTGACCATAATATCGCCATGAAAAGAGTATCTTTTGATACGAATTCCTAGTACCTACCAACACCGTATTTGCAGATAGACAACATGACAAATTTATCTGGAACTTGCAGAAACTAGCCAAGTTTTATTGAAATTGGTTACCGGAAAGTGAAGAAAGCTAATCCAATGAAAGGAGAAGAAGCCTGTCTAAGAGTTTTAATTTTGAGTTTTTGTTCGCCGTGCGCCATTACCAGGTCTTTGTTACAGTTCAGGTTTTTTATTTGATTTCCGTTGTTTCACCTGGCTTGCATTTACCTGACACTCAAAGTGTTAGTCATAATGTGTTTTTTAACAATACCTACCTGTACCTATTTAGCTTATAATACGAGTTAAGAGCCTTCTTTTGTCCGGTGGCGCAGTGCCTAAAGGCCATAAGCGTCCAACGCTATATTATAGGTAATTTCAATAAAAATGGCAAAGCGATTGTGAAGGACACTTTTTCGGACACTTATTTTTTCCGTTTTATGTACAAGAAAACACGAAACAATACGTCAACATGATATAATAAGTCCATATCATAAATCGTCATTTTTTAACTAAATTGAGTTATTAATTTTACTGAGATCATCGAATCGCGATCTATAACGCCAAATACTAACCTCATTAACTTACATATGTGTATCTATCGGTAAGGACCTATAATAGGTTCTCCATTATTACTTCAGGTTTTACTCTGTAAGATAGCCGTTGATCTTCCAGTAAGTTAAAATAAAATAAAATAAGCGGTTTTTTTATACCTTATTTTACCTACCTTCAGTTATATTGTCAAAAAAATCAGCAAAATCAAAGTGCCTTGAACGCCGTAAAGTCGCCTGCTTGTCGGTACTTTACAGGATATTATCATGGAGGGTGTGCGATGGAACTGCATGATTTAATTCCGCCTTCCCCTCTCGTAATCCATAAGGTCCGCTAGTAGCTACGTTCCATGGCTTAGTTGACATTAGGGTCTGGCACGGTTTGCTGGAATATGTTGGTTCGAATCAAGCCGGATCGAAAGATTTTTTCTTAAATTTTTTTTTTACAAAAACATTTTTTTAACACACACACACTTATACAAACACAAATTACACCCATCTCACGAGAGAAATGAACGTAGAGAATCGAACCCGGGACCTCTGCGTGACAGTCCAACATGGTAACCGTTCGACCACAGAGGCAGTTTGAGTATCATGGTGGTCGTACATCGTGACATTCAATAAACTAAAAAATTACCTTCTTATTTTAATTTTTTTTACAACCTGCAGTGACAACTTAAATAATAATGTTACAACCCTATATGCTCCAAGAGAAGTGTAGGTATTCAGCAGACGAACGAGTAAGTATATCCCTACAGCTGACACAAACTCGTGGTCCACCCGTGAGACGCCCCTAAAGGCGTATCACCGGCGACGGGCTCTTCCCGGACGCCCGCTGTACCCTGGTCTTTCCAAGGAGCCTTCGAAATCCCTATACATCGGGTGGATAAATAGGAACAAATAAATTATTCAGTTAACAGTCAGCGAAAACTATATCACACATTTAAATCTTACTGAATTACTGACTTTTTTTAATTTCATCGATAAAACACATTTCTTATTGAAACAAAGTAATTTTCTAATAAAGTAAAATAGGACCAAGTTAAGATTTTCAAATTTTTAATGTATGGTATAGTTAATAGAAACCTTCTTCGACGTATAGGTGTTATCACAATGTTTTTCTTTCGCCATTTGCCAAATAACATTAAATTAGACGTAGGCAATCAATAGAATAGGAATAATCTAATTTACTACTCGTATACAAGTATACAATCGACAATTAATATTCTTTAACCATTTCCGCTTCGTAAATTTCCGTGGCGTTACGAACAATGCAACTAGTAACTATACCCATAACAAAATTATAGTATCTAAGTTATGGGTGTATATTGCTATAATTGCTTTATTAATTGCATGAACAGATAAATAGAACGTCGTTGTCGTGTTTTATTATAACAAAGAGCCATAATTTGAGTTTAGTCATGCAAATCACGATTTTATTAAAGTTATTAGATTGTACTTTTGTTTGGATATTTGCTATGAAACATTACAAAGGCGTTTACTGATTTCTGTCCATAAAACTATAAAATACAAGTTCTTAGGTTTTCGCGGTTGTTACACATAGGAAATGAAACTATTTTTCCGGATTTAAACAAACCGACTTTTCGGTCCCATGGTCACGGTTGACTCAGTCAACAAATATATGCAATTTAAGTACGAAAAAATTTCCTATATAAAATACAATTTTTTTTCTTCCATGTTTCTATGTAAATGTTATTCCAGTGAAAAAAATGTAATGCACTAAGGTAAATGAAGTTCGTCCTAATAGAAATTGTCCGAAATATAAAAAAGAGTATGTAAGTAAATTATAAATTAATCGCATTTTATTAATAGAATTACTTACTGTCATTATTCTAAGCGTATCAATCGTCCCTAGCCAAGAATAGCATCATCATCATTCTGCCGTTTACATTGTCGTTATCTTTGATCTTTTTTATTAATAATTGTCTCTGGAACACAAATTATTTTTTACTATGGTCACCTTGAAGCGACGTGGAGAAAAAAATTACGAAATTGTCTATTCGCCATCAAAATGGCGTCATCGAAGGAAACCTATTGTTTGTGTGGTCAACCATATAATATTGGACAATTTATGATAGAATGTGATTGCTGCCGTGAGTGGTTCCATGGCAGGTAATGTGGAAAAAGTATAAATTTCTGTGATATAACATTGATCTGTGTTAAAAAAAAATGTTTTGTTTGACAGTGCCTGGCCGATCGGCCATCACACTTCGACCGAATAGTTTACTTATTATTTCTCAATAATTTCGTGTTAGAACCCATATTCGGTGTTTGTATAGCATTATTTACAGTTGGGTTAGATATCCGCAGGATTTATGATCCGTTTTTCGCAATGTTATTTGTTTACACGGTCGGTTTCCATGGGATTTGCAAAATGAAATTAGATCGGTGTTCCTTTGTGTATAAATAAACAAATTTATCTGATACAATACCAGTATACAACAATAGTTGTATACTAGATGCTGTTTTCCAAAAAGTAAATTGGAAGTTTAGCAAAAATGTAAAGTATTTTCGTGTTGAAAAGTCATCGTGTTTTGCCAACATGTGGTCAATATTTACGACAAAACATTTGTTGCAGTTGCGTGGACGTGAAAATCTACCAGTCAGACGATATAGACAAGTACCATTGCCCAAAATGTGCACAAACTTACGGACCTTCCGTATGTAAGTAAAATTTTTTGTCCATTTAATCATCTAGCTGCCTTTTTTTCCATTAAAGTGGTCATAGATTTCTTCTGACCTTGAATCTTACCAATCCTGTTTCAATGTTTACGTAGGAAATAAAAACTTATCGTAAGTAGGCTTCTACACATTTTCTAAAAAGAATTTTCTTTGATCTGTTTCATTCGTATAGTCATTTAGTTACTTGTTTCTATTAATCAACTAATGACACAATTTTAATGTAGTGACTACATTGTTATCACCTTTAATTGGGCACTAATTATCTGCCTGCAATAGTTATAAGATATGATGGTGTCAATTTGATCAAACAATTAAATTTAATTTAAAATATCACTACAAATATGACTTTCAATATTGTAAAAAAATAAGATACCAACATTGACTTACAAATAAACGGACGACGGGTCTAATACAAAAACCACGAAAAAAATGTCCTAAGTCAACCTATTCGAAATTTAAATTGTAATGTTATCGCAGTATCGCGCTGTCAGTCGAACAAATGAAGACTAAAGCGGAGTGTCGCGCTCTGTATACGATTATAGCGCCTTACAAGTGCGGACACTTTTTAGCGCGGATCCGACGTCCATATAATTGTAAGTCAATGGATACCAATAAGAAAAGGTCAGAATACTTAATTTTACTTACCTGTCACACATCCACATAAAATATAATCGTTAGAGACAAACACAGTTTCCAAGCTACATGGTGTGTCCAACACGCTGCGTTTTTTCATTAGTTGTGTAACTGAAGTTTCGTAACGGAAAAAGATGGCAAAAGTAAAAAGCTAAAGTGTAAGTACTATAGAGAACTCAGCAAAATAATTCCCAAGATGTTTTTGGTTTCATTAATTAAGTGCAATTATTACACAATACAAAACTATTCACCAATGCACGATCCACCGCCAAGTAAACCACATTGGCGCCTGATTCGTTGTAAACTTCCGATTAAAGTTTCATTATGTTGCGGATATGGAAACAGATGTGAAAAAGGTTGCGGAGCAGAAGTGGAAGTCTGTTGCAACACTAGTTTTTATCCAACATTTTTGTTACCAATATCATTATGAAGAACCTTATGTCAGTAAGATGCGTTACAACTTGTGTGCTGTCAGTTTTTGACAATGTTACATTTGTGAAAATTGTTAACATAAGCTAGTATGTGCCGGTCGGCAGAAGTACCAGTAAAGCAAAGCTGCAGTGCCAGTTGGGCCTACCGCATTCCTATAAAATAAACAATATTTAGAACTCTAACAAACTAAATGTTATAATTTTGGAACTCTCAAATCTCCACATCTCATGTGAATGTTCTCCAATAAGCAGGTTTCTTCTTCTTTGTAAGCAAATGATAGTTAACTGCGGTGACAAGTAGATAAGGGTGCTGGTGAAACAACAGGCACATGGGACTTACTATCTTTATGTCTCAAGATGACGGGCGCAGTGGTATTGCGTCTCAAATCACAATTTTGTAATAGTACTGCAACTGTTAGGAGTAGGTTTGTTATGTGAAACTACTCCACTAGTTATAATTATTAATACAAAGATTGAACACTCAGAAAAAAATCCTTCGTTCCATAAGCCGATTCGAACCGACGTCTTCTGGCACACCATGCCAGACGCTATACCAACTTATCTATGGAACGAATCAGCGGACCTCACGGTTTTCTATGTGCTTGCATTGTATCTTTGTATTTGTTTTGTCAACGACTTTTTAGTCGTAGCGCCATCTATGAGAAATCTGTGATATTTCGTGATCCAGTTAGATACCTTTACAGCCCTGACTAGAGATGTCTCTATTCATTGTATTTTAAATTTTTATGTACATTTTTCTTTTCAAACAAATCAAGGCTTCGGGCTTTTTACAAAGCTCACTGGCAAGACCATGAGACCTGTAAAGAGCTGGAAATATTGCCTAGTTCGAAAAAATAAATATACACCATTTAGACCCAA